TATATCATATCAAAACGATCTAAAGTGTTCCTTGGAATACGATTATTTCATATCAAAACCATTTAAAGCATTCCTTGGAATACGATTATTTCATATCAAAACCATCTAAAGTGTTCCTTGGAATACGATTATTTCATGTCAAGACCCCTCAAATGTTCCATGGAATACGATGATTTTTGTGCTTCAACTTTTAATGATCACAGCTGTGTTTTTTTTTATCTCTGTACACACCACGTAGAAATCCACCTACATAATTCTCCTGATTTAGCCAATCGTTAGGGTTCATCACGAATACAACTTAGACAACAGATATTTCGAACGCAAATCTCACTTCATTATTAATTATGATTTTCATTGGAGACAAGATCATATTCAGTTAATTTCTGATCACTTTTCAACACACAACGATATGTTGTTTAATAATATTTTAATTTAAGTTCTTCCAGTGATTATTGTAATTTCAAAATTTGTTGTCCCCTGGTGGGTCAGCGGTAAGTTTACGAATTTAAAATGTTAAATTCTGGAGATAGATTATCTGCGGTAGACAAAGCGCAGATAGTCCATTCTGTAGCTTTGGCTAAAATAACTTAAAATAGTATCAATAGAATAACCTGAGTATCTTGTACCATAAGGCTTAGAGATTAACCAACTACTTGAATCAGGAAACCGAATGGTTAAATACTTTTAGTTAGTACAGTGTTAAGGCTTAAGGCATTTTCCCGCTTTTTTCTTCCAGATAAAAATTGAATATTTTACTTTACCACGCAATTGCCCAGAACTGCTCCGTACCGGAACGATTTATATTCGACTGTCTTATCATCTAATATCAGACGTGGACTCGTATTATCTCATTTGAGAAATACGATTGTACATCTGTAAAATAAAAAAAATAGTGTTTTAACGGATGGTGTTTTTAAAAATGTTTCCTTTATTCGCCGCAGTAAGCCTATGTTTATGTAACATTTGAGTATTATGCAACATTCATGCCACTGACGTATTTTTCTTAGTTTGCCCGTTTGAAATATCGTGCAACTCGACACTTGTCACAGGCTCAGTCCCAAGTGGTGAAGTCAATGATAGATTGGTTTCATATTAATCTTTAGAGTATCAATGTGATTATACGTCTTTGTCTCTGTTTATTATAATAATGTAAGTTTAATTAATATACTCACTAATCCTTGTTGTGTCTGTCTATTATAATAATGAAGGTTTTATTAATATCCTCACCAACCCTTATCCTGTCTGTGTATTAGAATAATGAAGGTTTTATTAATATCCTCACCAACCCTTATCCTGTCTGTGTATTAGAATAAGGTAGGTTTTATTAATATCCTCACCAACCTTATCATGTCTGTCTATTAGAATAATGAAGGTTTTATTAATATCCTCACCAACCCTTATCCTGTCTGTTTTTTAGAACCGTTTGATACAGTCACCTGGCTGTTGATTCTTCTAGTAAGTATTCAACTTGCGGCTTTATTCATATTTGCCTTTGAGTGGATGAGTCCATCCGGGTATGACATGAAGGCGGTCCTCCCTGCAGGTGAGGGTTTCCAAACAAAAGTGTTTTTGTTCTTAATTCTGAATGTACTCTATTCATTTAGGATCATTTTAGTGAAAAAACATCGTAAGTAAATTAATAAGGCATACAATTTCTTGATACCCACTTGCTCGTAATTCGTCACTTCTAAATGTTAATTAATTTTAATATATGACTTACAGGAAGCATTACGTTCACACGATGCTATTAGAAACATTGAACGTATTTAGTTGTTAAGCCTAATTGTGTTTCAATAAATCTTCCACACAAGCCAGTTTCAAATTTTTATGTAGCTGCCTGTTTTTAAATTTGAAATTATTATGAAATTCAAGGAAAATATTGTAAGTTCACGTCTGAGTTGGAAGGGAGTTTTAATTCCAAGACATACTCTCCTCCTCCAGTTTTACGACACATTGAGTCTTAGTTCTAAATCTCTTAATCTGAAAAACTGTGATTCAAGTCAGGGTGAGAACTTTGATTTAAAAAAAAAAATCTAATAAAACTGAAACATTTTAATTTGAATCGTTTCTACTATCCCAAACGGGTCTTCTTAAGGAGAGTTTGTTTTGTTATTAAGCACAAAGCTACACAATATGTGCTGTGCCTACCATGGGTATCGAAACTCAATTGTTTGGTGGTTAAACCTTCAGACTTACCATAGAACCACTGCTGGGCGTCCAAGAAGAGAGTATAGCTTTTTGTTTTCTGTTTCGTTTACATTTTTTTTTATTTTACTGTTTTTTACTGACTTATGTTTGAATTATATTATGTGTTCTAATCGTAAGTTCCGCTTAATGTTACGATATAGACTCTGTAAGCTTTTAAATCATCAATTTCATTATTTTATTACCTCTGAATAATTCGATTGAATAATCTTATGTCCAAGAATATTTTGTATTCCAATTTATTTTACTGACTTATGTTTGAATTATATTATGTGTTCTAATCGTAAGTTTGGTTTAATGTTACGAAATAGACTCTGTAAGCTTTTAAATCATCAATTTCATTATTTTATTACCTCTGAATAATTCGATTGAATAATTTTATGTGCAAGAATATTTTGTATTCCAATTTTTTTTAGCACTCAGTTTTGTTTTGGGACAAAAATAAACTACATGTATTTCCGCAGGGTCCCCGAAAGTGTTCCGTTTCGAGAGTAAATAAAACCAAAATTCAACCGTTGTGATGAAAAAAGAAAACTATCCCCTGCAACTGAGCTCGAGAAAAGATAGATCATTTCTACTACTGGCGTCACACAGCGACAGAAAACATTTCAATGAAAACAGTGTAAATCAAAAACAAGTAGAAACCTAATATAACTCATCTGAAAATAACACACCAATCACACACGTATTTGCCCAGTAAATTCAGAAGCGGATTCCGATTCCCTCGGTTAGCCCACCATGTAACGAGGGCTTGTGGTCGCTATGGCAACCAGAGGAACCCTCCGTTTGAACAGCGTTTTGAAATCAATTTTTGTCCTCTCGTGATAAAGAGTTCAGTGGTTGTTCTTTTTTTTTACTCTCCCCCCTCTCTCTCTCTCTTATTTTAGAAGAGTGAAGACTTGTTTTATACATTCTATTTTTGTAATATATTAATACAAGCGTAAGTAAAATAAATGTTTTCAATCTAAACAATACGAAATATTGCCGCCAAAAAAGAAAGTATGAAACTTTATAAACGTTGCTACTGTCAGACCTCTTGAGTGGGAAGCATTCCATATTTAGTCTCGTATCTGAAGAACGTGAAGTATAACTGATATCTAAAGAGGATTTTCTTGTTGTGTTTTTATGGCTAGTTTTGGGATGTTCCATATGACGATAAGAATTCTACTTATTTATTGTATTTTGGAGGACAAAGAAAATATAAATAGATCGCTCTTGATACAAGTTTTCTGCGACACAGATCCGTCGACGGTGAATAATTAAATTTAAAGTATCGGTTTTATTGCGTGCGGCCATTTTATTGTCAGCCATTTTGTTGTTGATATGAAACATTTCAAAAAAAAATATTTCACCTTTAATATAATTATTTTTTAATTGCATTCAACATCCGGTGAAACAATTCTTAAACGTTTTTATATAATGTTGTATCTATTATTGCTGTAACTATTATTAATTCAGCCCATATGTATATCTTCGGTTTTCATCAGGTTAGTATTTGAATTTTAAAAAGAAATTCAGAACTCTACAACTAAATACTCACGCCTGTATCTTTGTTCGATGTACAATTCGCTCAGTGATTTAGGGCTGACTCCTTCGAGTGTCGTAAATATGTATAACATGAAAATACTATACATTTTTACATGATATTTATTTAGACATGAAACATTGATACCAGAATGTATTAATATACGAATTCTTATTTTTTTTTATGATTTCCTTTCCTAGATCACAAGTTTTCCCTGTTTCGTACCTACTGGTTAGTGTGGGCTATTTTGTTCGGTGCTAGCGTCAACGTTAACTGTCCCCGAGGGTACACAGCGAAATTCATGTCGAGTGTATGGGCAATGTTTGCAGTGGTCTTCCTCGCATTGTATACAGCAAATTTAGCTGCGTTCATGATCACCAGGGAAGAGTATTACGACTTGACTGGAATTGATGATAAACGAGTACGTTCGTTTACCATTGTTTGGAATATATTTTACCGTTTGTTCTTTAATTAGTTGATTTTGTAAAATATTATTAAAGGCTCCGTAAAAAAAAAAAAATAAGTATTATTGGCCACAGAGTGTTAAACCCTAAAACAGGTGAAGTACGAAAGGCTTAACTTCTGTTGTGTAAGCGTACTTATTTATTAAAGATGGGAGGTTATATATGCGTGTAGTTAAAAAGTATTATCACGTAAGTCACTATTAGAAGGAACTTAGTTAAACAATAACCGTCGCAGTCATTGTTATTTCATAGTGGCGACCTCTATTTTACATATTTTACATTGAATTGCTGTAAATTCCTATATGAAACAAAAACAAACAAAAGCACAAAATAAGGTCCAAAATATATGTTTATATCGTCTTCATAGCTTTAGATTCACATTAAATACATATAATCGAATATGTAGTTATCTTGTCAGATAATGGGACTAAAATGTACAAGTTAATTAGAACTATTTTCTTTCGCGGAATAATGTTTTTATTTCAAAGCCGGCTCCTGTGAGACATCCACTATTTTCAAGTTCCTGTTTTATTCAGTTATTTTTCGAGAATGCTGTGTTGTTTCATAAGTCGTTTGCTTCTGTGACATCGTGACTTCAGGGATTACCTCATTTCTGTCGTTGAGCTGGATTCCAGAACGAAGCCTAATACAATAATCTAAGACATTTCGGTCAGCTTTACAAGTCCAATGATAAATTCTTCAGCTTATAACTCTTATTTAATAAAAAAATCTTGCTGTGACTCCAATGTTTTCTGTAACGTAATGCTATTACCACTTAAGGATTTTCTGATTTTACAAAAACTTTTTTTGTGAGGAGAATGTATTCTTATTATTTTAATGGCGTTCCTGTTTGGATCATATGTTGTTGCCATAGAAACAAACTTTCAAAATGTTATAGAATTATTATGTTTCTGTTTCAATGGATTAGTTTCTCATTGCCTTGGTGGAAAACCATGAACTCGGGTGGCAGAAATTCATGGAGCAAAAATGTGTGATTGAGCATTTAAGTACTTACAAGGGTTTTTTTTTAACCTGGTTATTTAGCCTACTCTATGATGCATAGCCAAAGAAAACAACATTTTGAAGAAGGAAGTCTTCATAGAAAGAAAACATGTTACACAGGAGAGAGAAGCAACTGGCACCAAAATCAATTCCAACGCAATATTGCACCTGTGTGCAAAGGGAAGGTTTTGTTTCGAAAGAGAATCTTCCGACCCTAAAAGTTATTCTAATGAATCTGAGCATATCTCCTGGTACCGTTAACAATAAAATGAATAAGTGTTTGAAACTGATGACGTCTCACAAACTACCGGCTCTACTTCAAAATATATCTGAAGAAACTGGAATCGTAGTTCCAATGGAGTCCTGAACCTTTAGTCTGTATAAGTTTAGTCTTGGAATCCAAACATCTACACAGAAAGTGTGTCAAGACGTACAATCTAATTTACAAACCTCGCTGTCCTTTGCAGATTTCTTTTACAACAGATAAGTTGAATATTGTAGCCCGGCATGGCCAGGTGGTTAAGGAACTCGACTCACAATCTGAGGGTCACGGGTTCGAATCCCTGTCCCATCAAACATGTTCGCTCTTTCAGCCGTGATGGCCTTATAATGTTACGGTCAATCCCACTATTCGTTGGTAAAGAGTAGCCCAAGAGTTGGCGGAGGGTGGTGATGACTAGGTGCCTTCCCTCTAGTCTTTCACTGCTAATTAGGGACGGCTAGCGCAGATAGCCTTCGTGTAGCTTTGCACGAAATTCAAAAACAAAACAAACAAATAAATATTGTATAATAGTTTGTTTGAATTTCGCGCAAATTCATTTCAAAGAAGAAGAATAAGTAAATGGAGATCGATGATGGTTTGTTCTTTATTTTGTTATATAGTTGAACAGTGTTTCTATTATAACAATTATGATTACGTGTTTCGTACTGTTGAAAATAGTGCCAATTGTTGGTTTCAAGCATGTTTGTTCAAATTACATTTGTATCTAAGATGATAATTTCATTTTATCTTTTGTAGACAGAAACTATGTGTGGGCAAAACAAAACCCGAAATGTAGCCTAAAAAAAAATGTTACATCGATGTTACCATATTTGTTTAATATCCAGAAGTTACATCATTACAGAAATACAAAAAACAATTAAGTTGAACAACGCTCTAGTATTTTGTATTTGCTTTCAACAGAGAAATCAACTTTGATTTTACGCTTTCATCATATTATCAAGGTTTGATTGTAAAATATAGTTCCAAATGTTTTGTATTACTCCGCACAACTCGGACAAGTTAACCGGTTGCTGTTCGGTCTCCTCAGTTCCTATCTAAACCATAACCAACATTGTTTGTTCTTGGGAATCAGGGAGGTTTGACCAAATCTCTAAATATTATATAATTTTTAAATACTTGATTGACTTATTATATATGTTTGTTTGGAGAAAAGGCCTACAAATCATTTACTATTAACCTCGGTATTAATATCACGTACTCTACTTCTGTTATCAACAATGCTAATGTCACAGACTCTACTTCTGTTATCAACACTATTAATGTCACATACTCTACTTCTGTTATCAACACTATTAATGTCACACACTATACTTCTGTTATCAACACTATTAATGTCACATACTCTCTTTAGAGTTTCCAAACAGCTCCTACCGAAACATAAAACTTTGTTTTAATCTGTGACATAGAATAATCTTCACCAGCTAAGGGTTTGATTTCTGCACATTGTCAAGTGTCGTTGGTTTCCTTGGATCCATGAGTGAAATCACCACACTACTGCTGGGAATAGTATGACTGCCTGTACTTTTATAGGCATTATTCTGGTATAGCGCTGTTACAGTCACAGTGTAAATCATTAACACGTGACTGTGATCTGGTGAATTTCATTTTCATACAGTAGAGGGACGATAATCCCATACTATTTTTTATTCTCAGTGTGTTAACCGTTTCATAATGATATACAATACTGTATATTGGTACCTTCCCTACAAAGAGTTTATCTGCTTTAATGTACACATCTACTGCTTTTGAATAGTGTATTGAATATTTTTAGGTTTATTTTAACTTTCCTTTTCATGTGGAAGCATCTTACCTTTATCTTTTTTCGTTTTCTGAAACGATAAATGTTAAATCTGTTTGATAAATCTATTATTTAGCGAGTTTGTGGTAGGCGTTTCGTAACATCATGCAACTGCTTATATATTGACATTATCGATTCTATTTAGGCCTACTTATTATGTAGAGGTCTTCTTGGGAATTTCTTCATTACTTAGGGTGGTAAGTGGTAGATTAACTTAATGTAGAAAACATGTCAATGGGAAAACTAGTTATGGTTGAGACATTCTCAGTCAGAACTGAGTGATTATCAGATGACACTAAAGTCGCTTAGCAAATCACTTAATTGACCAAAACACAATGATGATTTGTTTTCCTCTGATGATTTATCAACGATAAAAAAAAATAATGAAACACTTTCATTTAATAATGTTTGTGGAACGTTCAAAATGTTTCGCCACAACCATGAAACTATCATTTCGGAATTTCACAAACTCTGTTATTTATCCAATTGTCCCTCTGATATTTACCAAGTTGTCCCTCTGATATTTACTAAATTGCCCCTCTGATATTTACCAAGTTGTCCCTCTGTTATTTATCCAATTGCCCCTCTGATATTTACCAAGTTGTCCCTCTGTTATTTATCCAATTGTTCCTCTGATATTTACCAAGTTGTCCCTCTGATATTTACTAAATTGTCCCTGCATGTAATTATTGTTTTTGTTTTCTTGCAAAGCTCAACAATGGGCTGTCTGCACTCTGTCCACCGTGGGGACTCGAACCACTGATTTTAGCGTTGTAAGCCCGTAAACTACAGAAGACCTACAGACCTTAAACGACTTATATGGTCTGCATTAATGATTTAAATAAACTTGTTAAAGGAAAAATATTAAGGCGGTTCTACGATCAACAACTGAGAAAAAAAACCCCATTGTGAATGTCAATATGACTTTCGATACAGTATATATAATGGCAGCTTTCAACGTCCACTGATTATTTCCTCGTAATAGAAAAACGATTGTTTGTTTGTTTTTGAATTTCGCGCAAAGCTACACGAGGGCTATCTGCGCTAGCCGTCCCTAATTTAGCAGTGTAAGACTAGAGGGAAGGCAGCTAGTCATCACCACCCACCGTCAACTCTTGGGCTACTCTTTTACCAACGAATAGTGGGATTGACCGTCACATTATAACGCCCCTACGGCTGAAAGGGCGAGCATGTTTGGTGTGACAGGGATTCGAACCCGCGACCCTCAGATTGCGAGTCGAGTGCCTTAACCGCCGGGCTAGAAAAACGAAGACATCTCAATGAATAATACCAAAATCATTTTACCCCATCCTTAATGAAACGCATTTCGATCACGTTTTGCTAACATCTATGAAAATAGATATATGTTGTTAGGCTATTCCCTCTTCCCCTTTTAAATCCACAGCTCTCTTTACGATGCCGTTTTGTTTGCACAAACACGTATCTGTAGTAAAGCGAGTTTTATAGACGTGATAAAACAGCCATATTTAAACACAAGTTAATGCACTCGGAACAGAAAACAACACATGAATATGGTGATATAGGAGTGTATCTCATTTCCTAATTAATCCACTAGGTGTAAGTTCAATTTTGTTCAAGTGCTCTAACTGCCTTCACACTTGTATAGGGCCTGTTTTAAAATAGAATATTTACTACATACTTAATATTGTAATTATAGAGGTCGCCTCATTGACTGAATGTAAGTATTGGTGTCACACACCAACTGTAAACATTTGAAAGGAATTATCGCATTCGTCCTTCCTAAACTGTAGCACCAACATTTGTATCAAGCAATCTAGAGACAAAATAATTTTCCACAAATTACCAAGTTCAGTATGTAATTAAATATGTTGGATTTTATAATAAGTGAATTAGTAAAGAAATACACCGTGTTTTAAAAATGTTGGTTATTATCCTTCTTCGCGACTGTGTAAGAAACATATATGTAGTAAGGACAATATAAAAAAAAACATGTTTGTAAATTATAAAGAAGAAAAATTTTAACTTGGAACTAAAAATTTACTTCAACTGTTTTGAGTTTTGTTTTTGGAATGTTTAGTATTCATATTGCAGAATTTTTTTCCCCTCGCGGTTTACCCAAACTCGTAGTTATCTCACGTAAGGAGAGAAAGTCGGCATGGACCAAACAAAAAAAATAATAATAATCCTTAATATACTTGATAATAAAATATTAAATTTACTTATATTTTATTTCTCCATATATATTACTTCATTATTGAACAGTATTTTGTTAGCACATTTGAGTAACATACAATTAAGATAAACTGTTCCTTACAACAATAGTTATGCACGTTACTATTTATTTTAATCTATTTTTTAATTCGTTATCGACCGTTCATATATATATTTTTCGGATTTAATATATTTTTGCGACTAAGCTGTAAGGCTCTACTAATAACAACCTTTCTTATGGAATCGACCACAAACTGTTCTAAAAGACAAAAACTACCCCATGTTTTTTTAGGGTTAGGAATGTAAGAATGTTTTATGAACAATGGAATATCAGTTAATATGTGGGCTGTTTGTTTGTGCATGTTAAAGTTGTTCACATTCTGGAACATTAAAAACACTAACATGTTTATAAACGTAATTTCATATTTATCAATCATGTATCTTCAGTAAAACAAACCGTATGAACGAATGAGTAATAAACAATGTTTTACGTATTCATACATCTTTGAGAGTAAACCAAACTTCAACGTCAAGTTAGGAGTTTGAACCTACGCGTTGCGAAAGTTACCCTATTTTACTGTCTATACAATGATCCCATTTTAAAGCCAAATGTAGGTATCTATAAAAAAAGAAAAGAATTTCGTTGAAATGTTTATTTCCTGACAGGAGTCGGCAACAGTCCCCTCTACAAACAATGGCCAAGAATCATCAAAGTCCCCTCTACAAAAAGTTGTCAAGAATCATCAAAGTCCCCTCTACAAACAGTGGCCAAGAATATCAAAGTCCTCTCTACAAACAATGGTCAAACGACAGATAAAAACCAGAGTCTTTGCTCGTAAATATGTTTCATTCTTACTGAAACATCTTCATCTTCCTGTTAAAATTGTTTTCTACGTCTTATTCTCACTTGAACAGTTTCCATTTCTTGTTACTTATACCTTTGATGTCTTATCCTCACTTGAACAGCTTCCATTTCTTGTAAATTATATCTTTGATGTCTTATCCTCACTTGAACTGCTTCCATTTCTTGTTACTTATATCTTTGGTGTCTAATTCTCACTTGAACAGCTTCCACTTCTTGTAAATTATATCTTTGGTGTCTTATTCTCACTTGAACAGCTTCCACTTCTTGTAAATTATATCTTTGGTATCTTATCCTCACTTGAACAGCTTCCACTTCTTGTTACTTATATCTTTGGTGTCTTATTCTCACTTGAACAGCTTCCACTTCTTGTAAATTATATCTTTGATGTCTTATCCTCACTTGAACAGCTTCCACTTCTTGTAAACTATATCTTTGATGTCTTATTCTCACTTGAACAGCTTCCACTTCTTGTAATTTATATCTTTGGTGTCTTATTCTCACTTGAACGGCTTCCACTTCTTGTTACTTATATCTTTGGTGTCTTATTCTCACTTGAACGACTTTCACTTCTTGTACTTTATATATTTTCATTTCATTCGAGCCTATAATTCATGCTTTACACACACATTTATGTCTGTGTATCCAAATGTTTGTTGTCTCTTTACTTAGAGTTTACACATCAGGAACTAGTACATGTATATTTACAGCCAACTTGTTTAAATACTTATTGCTGTTGTAACTTTAACGCAAAGGTTATTAAATAGAGTGCTGTTCAATATCTTCTGGGTGACTGCTTTTAGCGGCATCTAGCCTTTAATATCTGTCCTGCTCTTGGTCACCAGGGACAGTTGGTGAAGTATTTCATTCAAGCTCCACCTTTTAAGTTCCGTTTGGTCCTATAATGAGGTTACTGAATCTCATTTTGATTTTCTGTTGGCCTGGATGGGAATTTGTTGGTAATACGTTTTTATTTTAGTTCTCCTTCTAGGTCTCACCTAAGTGTACGTCTGAATCTTATCTACTTCGCCTCTGTTCTATCTTTGTGATCAGCGAAATTCCTTTAATCTTTCTCAAGTAGAAGTCGAACCTTGCTTGTACAAGTCCAATTTCTGTTGCCACACCAAACAAACCAACGCATCAAGCCCATTCTTTGTCACCAATGTAGTCAACCAACGAACCAAGTCCAATTTCTGTTGCCACACCAAACAAACCGACGCATCAAGCCCATTCTTTGTCACCAAAGTAGTCAACCAACGAACCAAGTCCATTCTTTGTCACTAAAGTAGTCAACCAACGAACCAAGCCCATTCTTTGTCACCAAAGTAGTCAACCAACGAACCAAGTCCATTCTTTGTCACTAAAGTAGTCAACCAACGAACCAAGCCCATTCTTTGTCACCAAAGTTGTCAACCAACGAACCAAGTCCATTCTTTGTCGCCACAGTAGTCAACCAACGTATCAAGTCCAAGTCCAGCCTTTGTCGCCAGAGTAGTCAACCAACGTGCCAAGTCCAAATCGAATCTTTATCGCCACATCAGTCAATCAGTGTGCCAAGGAACGTTTCACACTATCACCAACCCGTACAACTATACTGTGTAGTGTTGTTGTCTCACTGTGTAAGGTCATAATAAACATAATTATGATCCTTGTCAAGTTTGGTTCAGTCATTTTATTTTGGCAGCTTTGAGATTCCTTATCTAATATACTATTTCTGTTTATTCTCCTGGATGTAATCAGTTACGTAATCTATTACACACTACCAACAATCGATACACTTTGAGTACTACTGGACTCAAGAAGCAAACATAACGTTTCACTCTTCCAATAAAACTTGGTTATCTTTTTAATGTTATCTTCCAAAAAAATAATAAAATAAAATATATTTGAAGATGGTGCAAATAATGACTGATAGATAGTAAGTATCAATGGACTGATAGATAGTAAGTGTCAATGGACTGATAGATAGTAAGTGTCAGTTGTCTATCAGTCCACTGACACTTACTATCTATCAGTACTAATCTATCAGTCCACTGACACTTTTGACACTTACTATCTATCAGTCCATTGACACTTACTGTGGACTGATATAGAGTAAGTGTCAATGGACTGATAAATAGTAAGTGTCTATGGACTGATAGATAGTAAGTGCCAGTGTATATTCTTTCATCTTCAGAAACTTCATCCTCTGTTTTAGGTAAGCAACCCCTGGTTGTCGGATCCGCCGTTTCGTTTTGGCACTATTCCTGACGGTAATACAGAAGCAGTCCTGAAGAATAATAAACCTGAAATGCACAATTATATGAAACCTTTCAACCGCTCGTCAGTAACAGAAGGTGTTAAAGCAGTGAAGAAAGGGTATGATATATATGTATATATCTTTAGATATTATATTACTATATATATATGTACATTTTTATAGATACTATATTTCTCTTACGGTAAAATGTATTTATGTATTTTACGTAGTTTCGTATGTTTTAGTAAGGGAATCTTTTTGAATCACAGCTTTCAAATGTTTGTATACATGATAAATATTTCTATTTGTTTGTTGTTAAGCCTAAAGCTACACTATGGGGTATCTGTGCTTTTCTCACTACGAGCAACAAAACTCGGTTTTCAGCTGTGTGTGCTCTCACATTTACCGCTGAGCCGCTGGGTGTGTGTGTGTGTGGGGGGGGGGGGAGTATATATGTTTATCTATTATTCTTCCTTTATATAAATACATTACAAAAGTTCCGAGTGAACTTTTATTTTGCGAAATTGTTTTTTTTTTTTTTAATCGATCTTGGTCTCTCTACTTTATTTTCTCTTGAGACTTGAAATCTGTTTATAAGATAGATATTTCTGGTAGATATTAATATAACTTTTAAAATAACTGACTTTGCTTTAGAATTGCTTTTTCTAGTAAACAACTAAAAATTTAATAAGGACATTAATAGCTGTGAAGAGCAATCAAACGGATTAATAGAACAGTTGTGCCTGCCCCAGTGGCTCAACGATAAGTCTGAGGGCTTATAGCGCTAAAAACCGGGTTTAGATACCCGTGGGGGGGGGGCACAACATGCATAGCCCATCGTGTAGCAATAAACAAGAGCGGTGATTAAAAAAGTAGTCGTGGTGCAGATTCCGAATGAAGGAGCTCCAACTTTACAATTTCATCATAATAACTGTAGTTTTTAAGTGCCTCAAAAGTTTTATAATAAACATTGAATGGGGGATTTTCACCATTTTCATTAATCATACATATAACTGTGTTTACTATTCTTTTAACGAAATCTATTCATTCATATAGTTTTTATTGATTGTTGCTAAGCCTAAATTCATGTATGCAACATGGACCAGGAAAAACGAATATATCAACTAATATATGTATAGAAAACCCATATCACTCAACTATGAAGACAAAGAAAAATGCTTAGTTTAGACCACCTGCCAACTATGTTTTAAAAAATCAATATAAAACTGACAGATAGCAAAAAAAAAGGTTTCCTCCTTTTTTTCCTTATCATTCTAATGAGTAACGTATCACAACTTCATATTAAAAACCAAACTGAAACCTATATTTGTAAACTATCATTCCATAAGTAAGCCAAAAGCTTACGTTCATATTAAAGTTATTTGGCTTAGATAGATCGCTGTGTTTTGTCACTTCTTACACAATAATTATTAGGACAGTATATTTTTATGAAGCTATACATTCGTTCTTAACTTATCAGGTTATACGCCAATATTTCTTACTATCGTTTTTAAAGTATTGTTGGTTATTTATAATAGTATTCTTACCTTGTTTTTAAAGTATTGTTGGTTATTTATAATAGTATTCTTACCTTGTTTTTAAAGTATTGTTGATTATTTATAATAGTATTCTTACCTTGTTTTTAAAGTATTGTTGATTATTTATAATAGTATTCTTATATTGTTTTAAAGTATTGTTGATTATTTATAATAGTATTCTTACCTTGTTTTTAAAGTATTGGTGGTTATTTATAATCGTATTTTCACCTTGTTTTTAAAGTATTGGTGGTTATTTATAATCGTATTTTCACATTGTTTTTAAAGTATTGGTGGTTATTTATAATGGTAATGATACATGATTTAAGAAGACAGGCACTTTCTTATTAGTCTATTTTCAGTAACATACTGGAATTACCTATACATTGTTTCCGAATATCTCAGAGTTAGTTCAAAAAGACATATCAATAAATTTGCACTTATTAAATCAACTGTAATGTGAATAAATGTTCATCTACCAATATTTCTAGCTTGTCATTATTAAATCCATTAGGTTGTTTCATTAGTACGTACTTAATATCCCAATACCTATAAGAAAATGATTCTGTCGGTTGAAGAAAGGAACAGAACTGAAGATTACTGAAAGGTGTTTCTAAGCAACAAACACTATTGTATATATCATTGACCTCTGTTATTTCGCTCCGTTGCTCGGCTACAGAACCAACTCTGTAGATAATATGCAATACAACATTGTGTCATGCTGATGATAAACGTCTTTTGTTCTGCGTTAATTACTTCAATGTGTTACTGGCTCACTCTTCTGCAAGACAATAGGTGCGTGAATTATCTTCTTGATGTTGGGTGCCTTCATATCCTGTCTTATAAAAAGAACAATACTTTAACATTGCTTGAAATCAGCACACGTGAAATGAACATAATTTATTGATGTATATAAAATAAACAATGCTCATGTAGTAGCAAAACAACGATACGCAGGCTACTACCTAACGTTTGGATACCTTGAACAATATGCAGGCTACAACATAACGTTTAGGTACCTTGAATAATATGCAGGCTACAACATAACGTTTAGGTACCTTGAACAGAATGCAGGCTACAACGTAACGTTTAGGTACCTTAAACAGAATGAAGGCTACAACATAACGTTTAGGTACTACATATAATATATACTATATATATATAATATATACTACATATAATAAGACAAATCGTTAATGTAAGTTTTCACACTACAGATAATAAAATGAATCTTTATTTTAAGTTTTTACACAATGGATAATAAGACAAATCGTTCTTTTAAATGTCTACTCTACAAATAATAATACAAGTCATTATTTTAAGTTTTAAACCAGAAATAAACATGGTATGCCCGTTTTTATTTTTTACCACCTCATCTGTATCAGTACTTTGTACTCCTAAATATACCAATTAGCGTCTTTTTCTAAAACTGTTTAACATAATTTATACATGAAAATAGTAGGACTTATTTTAATTTCAGTAATTTCAATATCTATTTGTTTGGGAGAATCTTGGTAAAAAATATATATCTAACTGACACTTAGAACACAATAATATAATATTGTAAGATTTTCAACAGACACTTAGAACACAATAATATAATATTGTAAGATTTTCAACAGACACCTAGAACACAATAATATAATATTGTAAGATTTTCAACAGACACCTAGAACACAATAATCTAATATTGTAAGATTTTCAACAGACACCTAGAACACAATAATCTAATATTGTATTTTTTACAGCTCAGTTGTCTTTGAACTATTTCTGTCAAAGAACAACAGTATCTTAAACTTAGCTAGTTGTTAACTAAATATTCCTATATATTTGTTGTAGTGTAATCATGGTGCGATGGTCACTGAGCGAAATAACGACCAACGTGCATTACACTATGTCCTGCAGTGGGTCAAAAGTAAGTTTACGGACTTACAACGCTAAAATCAGTTTCGATTTCCCTCGGTGGACAGAGTGTAGATAGCCCATTGTGTATGTTAGAGCTGAAAACTAATAACCATTAAAGTATACTCACGGTATCGTGTTTATTTAGATAACATTTGACTGAGCTCGAGGATTTATTTAAAAAAAACAACTTTGTTTCATGTACTTAGGGTATGAATAGGATAGCCCTTAATAGTTCAGAGGTCAGTGTGAGAGCTCGTATACACGGGTTTCGATACTCGTGGTGGGCACAGCGCAGATAGCCCATCGTATATCTTTGTGTTTAATAACAAACAATCAAAAGGATAATAACATAAGTTAATAAATAAGTTGGTGGGTTTTAATACAACGTTTTGAGTCATCTCGTTTACTTTAAGTTTTGTTCGACTTATAATTATTAGATAATCAGTTATGTATTCGAGAATTAGAAATGTCGATACAGTATTTAGTTGCTATGGTTATTATTAAACTTCTCTTTTTTTAATATAGGGAACTAGACGCCTTCATCTATGACGCCACTGTCTTGGAATACCTAGCAGGACAAGACAATGAATGTCGTTTGTTAACTGTTGGCACGTGGTATGCCACCACTGGCTATGGTTTTGCTCTACCCAAAACTTCCAAGTATTTAAGTATGTTTAACAAATGGATGATACACTACAGAGAAAATGGTAAGGAATGCAAGATCATTTTTCAGGATTCATTGTGTATTCAGGTTTAGGGCCTACTTATGGTTCTTTGTAGTGTCAGTTCGTATTCAGGTTTCGAAACCTACTTTCTAATGCACGTGTGTATTCGAGTTTCTGGGCCTATCTTAGCACTTTCTAACGCAGGTGTGTATTCGAGTTTCTGGGCATATCTTAGCACTTTCTAATGCAGGTGTGTATTCGAGTTTCTGGGCATATCTTAGCACTTTCTAATGCAGGTGTGTATTCGAGTTTCTGGGCCTATCTTAGCACTTTCTAATGCAGGTGTGACAATAGTTCTTCTCGAAACTAGAGTAGAAACTAATACCTGCATTAGAAAGTGCTAAGATAGGCCCAGAAACCTGAATACACTGACATTGGAAAGTTCTAAAAATAGGCTCAGAAACCTGAATACACACTTACATTAGAAAGTGCTAAAAGCAGGCCCCAGAAACCTGAATACGAACTGACATTAAAAAGTGCTAAGATACGCCCAGAAACTTGAATACACACCTGCATTAAAAAGTTCCAAAAATAAGCCCAGAAACCTGAATAATAGTTTTATCTTGGGCCCAGAATGTGGCCCCTATATAGTGAAAAATATGTCTCACTACAAATATATCTGAACAAACAACTTATACCACAATTTGAACTTTAACCTCATTATTTGAACTCCTAAAAGTCAGAACAAGTGCACGTAGCATATTTCTAAAGAAAAATAGTCGATTTGTAAACCACGAATCTTCCAATTTCGCGCACGTTCTTCTGTCTGAAAACAAAACATTACTTTCATTGTACAGCAGTTTTAACAAGTATTTCAATACTTCGAATGTTTGATTGTAACGATACTTAACTATGAAAACATACATGCTATTGATAGAAAAACATGGCAAATAGAAACGAAATACTTTTTTTTTCATTAAAAAAAAGACTTTAAATAATAAACCAGTCCTATCCTATATTTCTACTACTATTAAAATGTTGTCGTTCATTATAATCTAGCACTCTAGTGACTCTTCAGTTATCTAGGGAGCTTATAACACTAAAATTCGAGGTTGAATCCCTTATGTTGGCAAAGCACAGATGGCCCATTGTGCTCAGCACTAAACAAATCACCGATTATTCAGCGAAGCAAGCGGTTCAATGTGTAAGAATTCTTTTTCTTGATTTTTCTTTTGGGGGGTTGAGGATGACAACAATACAAAAACTGCTCTTTTTATTTTCATTATATGGAAACAGCATCTACGATATATGTTCTTTTGGGGAGTTGAGGATGACAACAATACAAAAACTGCTCTTTTTAATTTTCATTATATGGAAACAGCATCTACGATATATGTTCTTTTGGGGGGGTTGAGGATGACAACAACACAAAAACTGCTCTTTTTTATTTTCATTATATGGAAACAGCATCTACGATATATGTTCTTTTGGGGGGTTGAGGATGACAACAACACAAAAACTGCTCTTTTTTATTTTCATTATATGGAAACCTGGAAGACAAGTAAGTTTCAAAGGAAAGGAGGAAAAATTAGTTTCAAAAAGTGAAAGGATGACCAGTTAATTTCAAAAAGGAATGGAGGACAAATTAGTTTCGAAAGAAAGGAAGAAAAGCTAGTTTCGGAAAAGGAAAGGAGGACCAAAAAGGAAAGGAAGAAAATTTAGTTCCGTATATTCAGATAACATAAACAGTTGTTTTAAAGTTTTTGTTTTCTGTCAGCTGTTATAATCTTGCCCTCAAAACCAGGACTTGGTATTTATCAAATTAAATTCTATATATTCTTACCTCGGGCTGAGGCAACCACCAAAATTTGAATACATATTGATTTTGGCTGTTATTCCGAAACATATATCGTGGATGCTTTCTTTTTGAAACTAGCTAGTCCTCCTTTCCTTGGAAACTAACTTGTTCTCCGTTCTTTTCAAAACTAACTTGTCCTCCTTTCCTTGGAAACTACTTTGTCCTCCGTTCTTTTGAAACTGACTACTCTTCCATTCCTTTTTGAAAACTAGCTGGTCCTCCATTCATTTTTGAAACTAACTTTTCATCCTTTCCTTTGAAACTGACTTGTCCTCCATTATTTTTTAAACTAGCTAGTCCTCCTTTCCTTGGAAACTAACTTGTTCTCCGTTCTTTTCAAACTAACTTGTCCTCCTTTCCTTTGAAACTGACTTGTCTTCCATTCCTTTTTGAAAACTAGCTGGTCCTCCATTCATTTTTGAAACTAGCTAGTCCTCCTTTCTTTGGAAACTAACTTGTTCTCCGTTCTTTTCAAACTAACTTGTCCTCCTTTCCTTTGAAACTACTTTGTCCTCCGTTCTTTTGAAACTGACTTGTCTTCCGTTCCTTTTTGAAAACTAGCTGGTCTTCCATTCATTTTTGAAACTAATTTGTCCTTCTTTCCTTTTGGTCAGGAGACCTAGAGCGTCTACAAAGATTTTGGCTACAGGGGGCTTGCAAACCAAAGAAAAATAAAAGAAATGCGACTAATCCCCTGGACGTCAACCAGTTTATGAGTGCCTTCCTCCTCCTTGGCTGTGGTGTCCTGTTCACAGTTCTCTTGTTGGGGGTGGAGCACATATACTTTAAGTACCTCAGGAAGCACCTAGCCAAAACTGACTCTGGGGGTTGTTTTGCTCTTCTAAGTTTGGTAAGTTTAGTTCAGTCTTTGCCTAAACATTCATTTCGTTTCACTTTAAAAGATATTGGTATCATTAACTTGAATTGGAGAATATTGTTCTCTCGGTTACTGTAGTCACTAGTCATACACGAGACGTTTGATTTCCAATGCGTCTCTGGAGATTTATCTACAATTTAGACACGTGATGCTCATCTGTATTCTGGAAGTTCATCAACAATATCCGGAAATTTTTCCGGCACTTTTAATATTCTTCATGGCTAATTAAGATATTTCTGTTTTCAATAATAAGTTTTCTCGTAAAATTAGTCACAATCTCCAAACGTGTCGTAATGAATGGATTTCTTATTGTCGCAGAGCATGGGGAAATCTCTAAGCTTTCGTGGGGCCGTTTTTGAAGCCCAGGATAGACTGAAACACCACCGGTGTCATGACCCAGTGTGTGACACGCAACTGTGGAAAGTTCGACATGAGCTGGACATGACCCGACTGCAACTTCGGCAACTTGAGAAAAAGCTAAACAAAAGGTAAGTTTTCTTGAAGTTGTGGTGGCGACTTATTATATTATTCAATAATGTGTAAATGTTTCTTGAAGTTGTGGTGGCGACTTATTATCTTAGTCAATAATGTGTAAATGTTTCTTGAAGTTGTGGTGGCGACTTATTATATTAGTCAATAATGTGTAAATGTTTCTTGAAGTTGTGGTGGCGACTTATTATCTTAGTCAATAATGTGTAAATGTTTCTTGAAGTTGTGGTGGCGACTTATTATATTATTCAATAATGTGTAAATGTTGTTTGAAGTGGGGCTATTCTAGAATTTTAGTGGACATGTGTAAGTGTTTTTGAAGTGGGGCCGTCTTACAATCTTAGAGTGTAATGTACAAGTGTTTCTTGAATTGGGTTTGCCGACTTACAACCTTACTGTATAATGTATATAGTTAATACTACAGTCAGAGTTGCAGTCGAATCAGAGGGGACTAAGTACTTTTTCTTTTAGGGGTTATACACGTTACAAGTCACTGAACAGGCGTAGTTTTGCTTACGGTCATGAAAATAAACACACCACCATTATAGCTTCATCTACAAAGCATGCTGTTCATATTTATCCCAAATCAGGTTCATAAAACAGACTCTAGCTTCTTGCACCGACGATCATCAATTTAATCGAAACCTGTTTTGATTTTTGTTTTTCTTGAACTTCGCGCAAGGCTACTCGAGGGCTACCTGCGCTAGCCGTCCCTAATTTTGTTAGTGATAGACCAGAGGTAAGTAACTAGTCAAAACCACCCACCGCCAACTCTTGGGCTGCTCATATTATAATAATCCTACGGCTGAAAGGACGAGCATGCTAGATGAAAGAATTGCGAGTCGGTTACCCTAACCACCAGGTCATGCTAAGCCCTGATAACCTTGGAACACACTAACGAAGTATCATGTTT